GCTGTGGTTTGTCAGAGATCAGCTGTGATTATCTGGCAGCATCGCTGAAGTCCAACCCCTCCTATCTGAGAGAGCTGGACCTGAGTAACAACAACATGCAGGATTCAGGAGTGAAGAAGCTGTGTGGTTTTCTGGAGAGTCTAGGATGTGGACTTGGAACTCTGAGGTCAGTCACCATGTTTTAGTTGTTCTGAGATGAATATGACGTAAAAGTTTTGCTGACTGCAGACATAAGGCTGATATTATATTGATTCACAATGAGGATCTTCTGTTCTGCTTTCTACTTCTTTGGGTTAGTCCATTGACTGTAGCAGAAGAATGTTCACATTCCAAGCAGTGATACTCAACGTATGGCTCGCGGCCCTCCACAAGGTCCCAACTGGGCTACCGAGCTTTCCTAATTCAGATTAACTGGGTACTGTTCTTCCTCACAGTTCTAAGTATCAGACACAACAATGAATATTCCGCAGTTTACTTTCTTAAGCAGGTCAAAAGTCATGGCACACAACAATTTAGAATAGAATAAATAATAGAATAAAATTAGGTATTGCACCGTGGTGGTGGGGGTGTTGTGTAGTCTGTTAATGGAGTGCATGTGAGAGTTCAGAGTGGTTGTGGCTTTTGGGAAGAAACTATTTTTGAATCTGTTTATGTGCTCATGCATCTGTAGCCAGGTTGAACAGGTCAGAACCAGGTTGGGAGCTATCCTAGATGATGTTTATAGCTCTGCTGAGGAAGTGGGAGGAATAGATGTCCAACAGGGAGGAGAGAGAACAGCCAATGATCTTCTGTGGTGTCTTGACTACTCTGTAAAGCCTCTCCCTGTCTGCCTTGATGCGCTTCCTGAGGACTCTCAGCCAACTTTACAACTTTTAAAAGCGAAGCTATGTGATTCCTTGAATAAAAAAACACTTCTTTTTTTAAAGTTTTTATGATAAATGCACAACTTGAATGTGAAAAATTACGAGTTTTTTCTCATGATGTGTTTATTTGAAGCTGCTTCCTGTTGGCTTCAGCTGTTTGCAATTTCCATTTTCTAAGCTTCTACATTCTGAGCGTTCTTCAGCTCTGAACAGATTATGAAACATTGAATCATTCCAAGAACGCACATTGTCTAATAAACGTACATTTTTCATTCTTTATACAGATTGAAGGACTGTGGTTTGTCAGAGATCAGCTGTGATTATCTGGTAGCAGCGCTGAAGTCCAACCCTTCCCATCTGAGAGAGCTGGACATGAGTGGAAACTGCAACCTGCAGGAACCAGATGTGAAGCAGCTGTGTGAGCTTAAGGAGAGTCCAGACTGCAGACTGGAGGTGCTGTGGTCAGTAGAGTGTTGGATTGAGTTTGTGGTGCTTCTGCAGTATTGTACTAAACACAGTCAGCATGAAACAAAGATCCAGTGTTTCCTGTAAAGCTGCAGCTTCTCAGTGAAGCTGTGAGAGGAGAATGGTGACAAGCTTCAGGATTGGACACAAACACTTCCTGTTTCTGCCTGACCTTCCTACCTCTGTGGTCACTTTATAGTAACGGCTCACATGCTCTGATCAAACACTGTCAACAGCCAATCAGCTCTCTGAAAAAAGCAGCATGCAGACCAATGACTGCATTCATTTCCAAGTTTAAAGCAGTGAAGAACACAATCTGTAGGTGAGGAAGAATTTAGTTAGACCAGTTGTTTGGACGGAATTCCTTCAGTGAATAGCAGGAACCATTACATCTGGATTGTTGGGGTTGTTTTGGGGGTTTCCTAAAGAGCTCAGAGTGGACAGACCGAGGTTATTCTAATGAATGAAAGTCCAAACTAAGACTAGGAGTGAAAAACCTTTTCATGAACTTAAACACTTGTTTATATCCTCTGCTCTTCCTTCTTCTCTCTGCAGGTGGAGGT